GTGTGGCTGCTGCGGCGAAGCGCTCTGTGCCGACACTAGCGGCACGTTCGTCGAAGGTGACAGGAAAACGGAGTTTTGGCCTCAGATTCCAGGTGTAAGGGCCTAAAGGTGCACTTGGCCATAGCGCGGTGCGGTTTGACAGGAGTGGCAGAGGGGCTGCGCTCCCTGTGTTTCTCTGCCTCTGCACTGCTCTCTTGTTTTTCTCCCAAAGTATTTTGGAAATTATGTTGTTGAGCGTACTGTTGTCTGTCACTAGGTATGGATAACGGGAAGGATGAAAAAAGCAGGAAACTCTGTGCAACTTCACAAGAAGAGCTGAAGGTCCGAGGTAGGCATTGCTAACCTGTTTAAGGCTGTGGTGTTGAGTGTATTGTCCTTTATGTCAGTTACCATGTTTGACTCTGATGTTGAGCATTGCCACTTGCTAATGGTAATAAACTATGGGATCCTGGAAGAGGGGAAAAGAAACCCAAACCTCCTCAAAATAGGCATTCATTGTGCTTAAGTTCTGTGAAGAGTCATTTTTGTAGACCATAGTTACTAGCATGCTTATCACTGTTGCCTTGTGTTATCCTAAGGAAAAGAAAAAAGGAAACGGAAACGCAGTAGAAGCAGATCATCATCCATTTCATCCACATCATCTTCTAGTGCTACATCCAGTTCTTCTTCCTCATCACGTTCATCATCAAGATCGTCTTCCTCAAGTAGCAGAGGTAAGCTACCTCCATGCATACACATGATGTTTATCAGTTTTGATAGCACGCCTGGAAGCATTTAAAAGTTATTTTAAATGTGGCTAAACCACCACAAAGGGACAGTGTAGAGTACCAATACTGCATGTTCAGTGTTTCTCTCATAACCCTTTCCTATCGCTGTGTTAAGGTACCTCTTTACACACAGTATGCAGTGCTCCTGTGTTAATTTAAGTAACTTCAAAATAGAAATTGCCATTCAAAGAAATGTTACTTTGTAACAATATGCTGTATATATTTAAAATTCTGTGTTTGAAAGTATAGCGAATATAGATTTCTTTCTACTTTACCCGTCCATTTAGACCAGTGTTGGAGTTTTTCATTTAGTCTTACCTTGGTCTTAAAGTGCCAAGCATTTAACTTTGAGGACTCACGTGAAGTTCATTAATACTAAGCTGCTTCTTACTTAGAGTACTTGTAGTTTTTTTAAAAGATATTGTCTGGGAGTAAGTGCAGATTTTTTCTATGGATATAACTTGTGACGTCACGGGGAATGTATTGCTGATTATATCAAGACTATTACTTTGATATTCTGTATCAAAATATTTGGTATCATTGCAGGTAAAATGACCAAATTGCCATGCTACTTTTAATAGAATGCATTAGGCAAATTCTGAAGTGTATTTTATGTTTTTATGACTATGATTGAGAAGTCTTCTATGAACTAGAGCCCTAGGAGAAATAGAGTTTGCCTGATGAAAACTCTTAACTTCAGAGTTGGGTGAAGTTTCACTGTCTGGTACATGACCTCATGTTTGTGATTCTGTATCCCACAGTTTAACAAAGACTTAGTTCTGCTTCTCTTGAGGTGGGTTTATATCTCTATGGAAATATTACTTGTTCTTCAGTGGCTTGATTCAATGTATCTGACAGAAATATGTTCTGCAAATGTTCAAATCTATGAACTTGCACATTTGGTTAGGGGGCTTTTCCTTCCTTCTTGAATGAATGTTATCCCATGTGACACATTCTTAACATTTCTAAAAAGAATTAAAATGTCATGTCAGACACTGACTGCGTGAACATGCTTAGGATGCTTTCTGGCTCATCTTTTGGAGCGGTGCCAAGAAACGCGTGTCTGGGGAAAAAGTCCTTCTGAATTAGGCCCGAGTTGTCCATCTGCATGCTCAGAGATTTGCTAAAACTTTACAGCTAAAAATTCCCTAAGTTTTCCCATTCACAGGGGAGAGCACAAAATCTAGCAATAATGTCCTATAAGGGCATGTTTAAACAACTCAATTTACTCCATCTAGAGAAGAAAAGATGTGAGGTAGTTGAGCTAAGACAGATATGTAGGTGTAGGTAGTGGGTACTATGGAAAGAGAGTGAAAAAATCTTTCTGTAACATTCGAGCAAGGAAAAATGACCTCAAATTGCAGCAGGAGGGATTTGAATTAGACCTGGTAAAAATATATCCTAGCAACAGAACAGTGGAATAGCTTGCCTAACCTGCAGTTAAAGGCCTTGAATGATGAAGGTTGCCCCGGTCTGATGTGTCAGGTATAGCAGGAGTGGAGTTAACTTTCCTTGGGGATAGCAAAATGGAGATTCCTTCTGGCATTTTTTAATATGTGTTTCTCTTATTTAGCGAGTGCTAAATCACTGGGTAAATCGGGTATTTTCAGTTTCCACTTTAGGCCAGTAAGTGGCAGTAAGTTGGTGCGTTGCTTTTCTCAAGGTTTGTTTCAACCAGCGTTAATATATATATATATAGCTGAATTAAACCATTTTCTTCTTACATTTGCATTTCTATATGCCTTATCTGTAAAATCAAGTGCCTTTTCCAGAATGCTAAACTTACAGGGGTTTGTTGGTTTTTTTTAGATTCTCCTAAGTCTAAATCAAAGAAAAAGAAAAAAGAAAAACACAACAAAAAGGTAAACATTTACTAAGAGAAATAAGTAGTTAACAAACAGAAAATAGTTCTTCATATTTCAATAACCTTCTGTGTCATGTAAGATGTAATGCTTTTGTCTATGGCTATGTAAATCTGAATCACGCTTTTAGGGTTACAGCAGGTGAGCCGACAGGTTGTCATATACTTGGCTGTATATTAAAGGAGAAGTAATTTAAAGGTTCCTTTTGCCAGTTGTTGCTGGTCCAGCTAGAATCTACAGTAGTCTCTGAAGAACAGAGAAGTGGGAAATCTCGATAACTTTATAGAATTTCTGATAGAAGAAACTATTTAAAGTCAGTGAGATTCTTGCTGTTGCAGTTTTTCTTTTTCATTTTATTAGGACCACCTGTTCAATGATTTTTATGTATTTGGCTTACATTAAAAGAGAGCAAATCAAGGATAAGACTATTTGTGTTTCTCAAGATCTCAAGGGTTGCTAACCCTGCTGCATTATTTTCTCTGTGCTTCAGATAGTACCTATCCAGTAGTGGTAAGGGCAAGCAGTAGTGGCTATCTTGACTAGCCAGGGTGTTACGAGCTACTTGTGGGTTTCCTTTTTTTTGCCCGTGTAAATCTGTAAGCATAAGAGTACATGTCTTATACTTGTAGAAAAGGAAAAAAGACAACAAAATGAAGAAAAAGAAAGAAAAGAAGAAAAAGAGAGAGAAACCAGGACCTGTCCAGCTTTCCAAGGTATGCTTGTGTGAGCTTGAAGTCCTGTTAGATTTCTCATCTAAGCGCTTAATCTGTCCTGTCATAAAAGTGTTTATAACACCATCGGTTTTGTCATCAGCAAATAGAAACCTATCTCTATTGTTTTGGACAGTTAGGAAGTATAAAAGATTATTGTCTGTAATATTATTTTAAGATTTGTAACATGACAAAATAAAGCAAAGCTTATGTCTTTCTAATATGTGATTTCATTTTAGTTCTTTAAGAATAAAAAGAAGAATGAAAACTACAGCATGATAACCGGAAAGAAAATTAAGATGAAAATTAAGAAGACTAAGAAGGATAAAGAGGTAAGAGTTAAAATAGTCTATGTATCCCTAGGGGAAAATGTATCTTTTAATATTTTTCTAATAGTAGGCTTTTGTAGAAGAGTAGATCTTACAGTTAAGAGTTGTAAATTGATTGTAGCTTTTAATGTGGCTATGATGCTATCTGAGAAATTTTAATTCATTCTTTTGGCAGGTTTTGTGTTATGAGTGGGCCTGGAATACTCAGGCATGAGTAGATAAACCAAAGTATGCTTGTGCAGGTTCTTAGAATGTCAGTCCATAATGTTTAGCTTATTCCTGGCTTTCTCTGTTGATTTAATTTGTACTGTGTTTAATTGTCCTCATCTCTTCCGGTCTCTTGTGATCAGTTATGGTAATTGCTGCTTTACAGTGTTTTTCTAATGCATGCAAGACCAGTGATTATTTAGAGAGGAATTAAAAAAAAAAGATGATAGGATAGATATTAGGACCACATGTTCGTGCATTCTGTCAAAACAGTCAAACGTTTTTGCTGAGACACCCAGAGGAATAGATATTGTGGAACATAGGAAGTTCTGTTCCAACACATGGAAAAACTTCTTGGCAGTTCGGGTGACAGAGCACTGGCACAGGCTGCCCAGGGAGGTTGTGGAGTCCCCTTCTCTGGAGATTTTCAAAACCCGCCTGGATGCAGTCCTGAGTAATGTGCTCTGGGCAATCCTGCTTTAGCAGGGGAGTTGGACTAGATGATCTCTAGAGGTCCCTTCCAACTCTGAAAATTCTGTGATTCTGTGAATAGCATTTTGTGCTATTGTTATGGGTGTCTGGACTCAGCTCTTCAATAATATGTTCAGTCTTCAGCAGTTTCCACACTTTAGAGTGATCTGCAGAGGGCTTCTGGTACTAGTCAGTATGTGTTAAAAGTGTTACTTTGCTTAAGTATGCAGTTGGTGGATTCTGATTCAGCCATAACAGTTCATTCTATAGTTACCAAACCAGACCTGAGCATTCCAAGTTAAATTTTATCAAAAAATACATTATCTTCTTTCTGTGGCACTGAAGTTTGTGTTAAATTATGTTGAATGCTTCTAGCCTTATCCCAGTAACCTGCATGTTACAATATTTGATGTCAAATACTTGATGTTGGTCCTTTTTTGATTGGTGTGCATGGTCATGAACATGCCCAATTGAACAACATCCGTTGTTCACAATATTTTAAGATTCAATGATTGTTTTATAAATTCTGATTTAAAAAACACTGGAAACAAGCATTTTGACTGTTTGAGCTGTCTCTTATGTAAAGAAAGAACCTAAATTCATGGTTCGCTTTCTGTTATGCTGCAAGCTCCTGCTTATGCATAGAAAAAAATGATACTTCCCAGAGCGTAAGACTTGCTGTGTGTACAGTGCCTCAGACACCAGAGAATTGCATCTGTTCCGCTTGTGAGTTCCCTCCTGAGCAGGCTTTGAGCTACACGATGACAACCCAGTGGAGCCTCCGCAGAGAGGCACTTAGAAAATGTATCATAAAATAGTGACAGCGACAGCTTGTCTCCTATAGCATCTCTCCTGAGTGCCCGTTGCCTTGCACTTCCTCCAGGCACTCACACCTGCCTGGCAGCTAGTCATACCCAGCTCATTGAATGTGGTAGTGTTTGTTGTGCAGCGTGCTGAGATGTGAAAGCCCCACAGAAAGCAGGATTATGCAGCCTTGGTCCACTGAGTACAGGTCTGTTACACTGCTGCCTCTGCTTTTCTGCTCTACAGAGAGATCGTAACCGTGCAGAACTTCTTGAATTTCTGAACTCTGCTTTATAATGGGAAGAGTGCTAACCAAGGACTTGTAAATATACCAAACAAATGATCATCATGCCTAGCAAGACACTAAAGGGAAACTCAGGGATAAGGACGCCATGTTTGACAAGACCAGACTCTCCTGCTGTGAAGACAATCGGGATGTCCTTTTTTAATGGCAAAACAAAGAGTAACTGATAACTTGTTAATGAAGATCCATGTCCTCCTTTTGAGATCCTAAGGTAATAGCCAGGCTGTGATGTTTTAGAAGAACCTAAGAGTGTGTCATTGACAATGATAAGAACTGACACACTGAAGTACAATAATGTAATTTCTATCCTAACTGCATGCAGAACAGACTCTTAATTTCAAATGTCATAATGTTTCTAGTAGTTTAAACAAAGCAGAGTATTTGTAAATGTCTATTTGAAAGACAAGGCGTTTCTATATGAGTATTTTTTCCAGTAGTGGTTTTACTTGTCCTAAAGAGCAAGATGACCTTTGTAAATAGAACATGCTTTTACATAAATGATTTTTTGACAGTTCACTCATTAATATATTATTTTCTTTCAGAGTTTGAGATACGATCTTTCTCTGGAAAGTTTATTACTCTCTCTCTCGCTAGAATGTGGAACAGTGAAATACTCTAGAGCAATAATGGTAGCTGAATGATTTTTATCCCAAAATAGAAACAGGAAACATCTCTGGGTTTTTTTGTTTATCTGGATCAGCTGTTGAAAGGCAGCTTACAACAGATAGTTTACCCCTCCCATCTGGAGTTGCTGTTCCTAGACCTAAAAAATGTAGAGTTTTGGCCTGACTTTCTGATCGTGTGAGCTGTTTATCAAATCTTCCTCTGTCTGAAGTGCCACAAGGCACGTACCACCTATCTTAGTCTAATGGAAAGAGAAAGAGCCGTAAGAATGATGCCAAAGCAGGCAGTGACAGTGACCCTCCAGGTGTGTTGACAGCTCACTGTGAGATGAGACAGATCTGGATATACAGCTGACCCCAGCATAACTTGAGTGTGTGTTAGCAGTGGTAGTTTGCTCAGTGCTTGCTTGCTTCCTTTGAGAACTTTGACTTCAATTACCCAGCAGGCCCCTGTGTTCATAACTCTGATGTGGGAACTCTACTTGAATCCCTTGTGTAGCAAGTGCTCCTCGGGAACCACAATTTAGGAATGCCTAAAAAAAATGAGTCAAGGGTAGTTGACTTTGACAAGAATATCAGGTGTACTGTGGTCAGAGTGTGGGGAGTTCATTAAAGAGCAAACAAATGGAAAACTTTGTGTCTGTGTCTGCCATGGTGTTCTAAGTAAATCTCAAGTTTTGTACCATTGCTCAAGGGGTAATTTTAAAACTGTTTTGATGTGTGAAACCTTCTGAAAATGCTAGAATCCTGTCTTTTCCTTAGGTTGGTGGGTTTTTCTGTGAAGCATTTTGCAATTGTTGCAGAGATTTAACTCTTTAGAGACTAAAGCCTTGATCCAGAAGAGCAAGTTTTTACACCCTTATGAACATAAATCATGACAACGCATAGGTAAGAAATGAAGTTTCCTTGACTTTTAACCTGGTGATGGAAGTTTTCTTGGAAGCACTGTTCTGAAATGTCAGTAGGGGAAAAAACAAACAAGGGGGGATCATGCTTTGATTTATGCTACTTTAGTATCTTCTAGCTAGAAGTGCCAAAGCGTCTTGTCCAGATAAGCAGCTTTTATCTCTGGACTTCCCTTAAGAAGGTTAATCCCAGACACACTCTTAGAAGACACCAACATCCTTGCCATTCATAGGTTATACTTTATGTAAAGATAGTATCATTTCCTGAAACTTTTTTTTGGGGGGAGAAGTAGAAATTTGGAAGATAGAAAGCAAATAGGAACGGGAAGTAAAGAACTGTATTGGTTGGAAGGTTCAGACTTAATTGAAATAATCTGCTTTTTGCTGCCTCATTCAAAATCAGTCAAGATCATAAAAACTCCTTCACTGTTCCATGCTAGTATGGAAAAGGCAAAGGACCTTTATTAATATCATGTGATCTGTTCCTCTTTTAGGGTTTTGGTAGTTGCCAACTCTGACTGTACAAAAATGAGTCAGATCACTTTTTCTTTAAAAAAAAAAAAAAGCAAAACTTTTTTTGCTGTTTCAGGACAGAGGAATTTTGCCTGTTCAGTTTTGACATGCTGGATATGCTTTGGTGACGCTTTAAAGTATGTCTATGCCAGCATTTACTTTTAAGATACCATTTCTTTTAGAAAGCTAAGCTGCTTAAGTTCTGTGGCAGTGATTAAGTTTTATTCTCTCCTGCTCAGTTGCTACCTGAAACTTCCCAGCAGTTGCTGCTTTCATAAGCCTCCTTTACCTTTCTGCCCCATCTCCATGTAGATTCTTAGGTTTCTGAAGAGGTTTGAGTTTATGTTGCATCCTTCCCTGTCCTGTCTTTCCCCACAAGCACTGAGATCATGTGCATCTTCTTGGGACTGAGTATCTTTGAGACTGCTCTTTGGAGCTGGCCAACAGATTCCAGGCTCCCTAGTGAGCACAGGCCCATACAGCCAGAATAATTCTCCATGCCTTGCAGCCTCAGGAAAGAAATTAATTTTGTTGACCTTTTCACCAAAACATAGCTTCTTAATACCGCTTCCGATTACTGTTGTGGCAGGTGAACCAGATGTGAAGGTTATGATAGTAAGGTAAGAGATTTAGAGGAATGTGATGAAATACAGATCGAGAAATTTGCATGAGGGAACTGTGAAGTGGTGTGGGATGTCGACCTGATATGCAAATGGCTGATAGAGAGCCTTGCTGCTAGGTCTTAAAAAAGCGCATATCGTGGGGGAAGATGAAGGCTGGAACAATAGAACAATAGAAAAGGTATGAGGTAGGGATGGGGGGAGACTGCTGCTGTCAGAACTCATGGGGTGGGGCAGAGGTGAGGTGATAAGGAAGGGGCTGCAGAAGTTTAGCTGGCTGGACAAGTTGAGATTCTTGCTAAAATGCTGAGTAATAGAAGTTTTTCAGATGTGAAACCTACTGTTTTTTGTGTGTGTGACAGTCTTCCCTATCACACACATTTTCTGTGTCCTTGTACCATCTTCCATTCTAGGAATCATGCAGAACTCAACTGATTTTTTTTAACAACAGACATTCCAATAATAGAAGTCACTGGGGTGGGGAGGAGGGGCAGGATATATTCTCTGAGCTGCTGCTGCCATGCCCATCCTCCTTGGCACCGTACTTCCTAAGTATTCTATCCCATTTACAAGATGTTTTGCCACAAGCAGCAGAATTGATAAGACTTGGTCCCCTGGGATTTCTGCCTGTTGCTCTTAAGCCCTTGCTACCGCACTAGTCCTACCTCCTGCTTGTGTGCTGTAGTTAGGCAGGCATAAATGTAAAATGGCTGTGTGGTTTTCATCAGTTCCATGGTGGAGGGTGTTCATTTGGACCTCCTGGATCTAGTGAGTAATTGTCATGAAGCAGGTATTTCTAAAGATATCTCCATAATTGATACAACTGGCAGTAGTCTCAAAAGTTATTGGAAGGGGATGCAACACAGTTACTTAAGTTTCTTCTCTTATGCAGGGAAAACAGGCAAAACCCCAAACATGAAAGAGTGGTTGATGCAAGTAATTAAGTGATTCAGCCAGTTCTCATGGGCAATGCAGTTCTTTGTTACTTGTTTCCTTTATGATTTGTCTGAACTTGACAACTCTGCCCATGCAAAAATCTACAAGAGATCAAGATGAGAAAATACTTATTAAATACCACTTTGCCTTGGAAGTACTTGGGTCCATTGAACTTAGATGTATCATCCTGCAGTGCTGAGCAGGGCTTGCAGTTTTGATACCTGTTCAATATTAAATTCAATACTGAGGCAAATTGTGCTGTTTTGATGTACCTGCATGTTTCACACTGCAGGAGTAGACGAGCTTTTCAGTCATCCTCTGCAGCGGGGAAACCTGAGTGAGCCCTATATGTAGGGGCAAAGCAGGGTTCAGCTAATGTGCCCTGAGGTCGCCTGCTGACCCTGCCCTGCTGAGGTGCGGGTGGAGGCCTTGACCACTGGATGGAGCTCTGATACGCTTTGTTGTACGTGTTAGACATACTCCTCCTGGCCTTTGCTGTACACATTTAGAAACAAGTTTCCAAACTTCCTGCTCAACTCTCAACTTTGGGAGCTCCACTGTTGTTTGGGCACTCCATGAAATAGCTGGATTTTAAGTGACAGTGGACCCTTCTGAAGGATATGAGGTCCTGTGCTCGCCTGAAAATTCTCCAGTCTGCTGCTTGGTTGTATTTGAAGCTGTAGGGTGATAAGCTTTTGAGGAGCTGCTTTTTAAAATTATTGGCAAATACCCAGTCTTATATTTCCATCTCTGGATGAAATGAATCATCAGAATTACTGTCCAGTGCAGAGATCATGATTTATTTGGCTGTTGACAGCAGGTATTTTTTTCTGGCCTGTTCAATTTTGATCTTAAATTGTGATTCACAAGGAGTATGAAACATCTGGTGTTTTCTGAGGGGAGAGCAGGACATGGTGCTGAAGGCTCTAAGAAAGCATGTTTTGAGCCTGTTCAAGCGGTGTGAAGAACATCATTAATATCCAGTCTGCTAAGTGTATATTGATTGCAGAGACACAATGTTTAAGATGACAACTGTTCTGATATCAGCATGCTGGCCACTGGTGCTGTCTTCTAATAAGGCGCTAGACATCAGTTAACAGCTAACATCGGTTGTGTTCGTTTTGCTCTCCATTCATGAGCTGTTCTCTGGGTGACAGTGGTGCGAGAGAAAAGTAGCAGGAGAGTGAGGAATCTGTTTGTCAGGGGAGGCCTGGTTAGAAAGTTGCTGCCTGGTTCCTGGTTAGTCAGTGCTGGGAAATCTGCCGGCAGGTGGCATTGCTGTCCAGCTGGACTGTCATGGATATTTTTATTTTTTTACCTTTGGACATTGGCTTTGCACTTTCTTATTCTGAAACCCTATAATTAGCCTGCAAAGACCTAATTAGGTGGTGTTTATGGGGAACATTTGTTACTGCTGTCCTATGAATTTAATCTAATCTTTGTTCATTTCTTGCTCTTGGCTGTGCTGTGGACAGACAATAGTCTCTCCTGCTGCTTCTTGCGTGCTGAGGGCAGAACAAAGCCTTTAACTTCTAAGTAGTTGCATGCAACGGGAACAAGTTGCTGAGAGCCAGTAGGAACCTGGAAGGACCAGGTGTTGTTGCACCATCCCTCCTTGGGGCTGCTAAGTTCTTCAGAAACTGTACCCTGCTCTTCTCCATCTCTGAAATAATTTCAGACCTCCAGTGCCAGAATATAGAAAAAAAAACCCCATACCTGAGGAGTATGTCACTGCGTTGTACCACGTCTGGTTATTTAAATAGGCTTCAGACTAAATCAGGTGAAATACGTTGCTTTAGGCAACCTGGCACTGCAGAGAGTAACACTGGAAAAGGTACTGCACGTGGACTGTGACCTGATAGAGGCCTCTGAGAATATGGCATTATGATCACTTAACAGGTGTAACAGTAATTATATTCTGAGAGTAGATACTCTGACGTAGAA